ATTTCCACCAGGAGTTGGTTCCTTTGCTCGATGTAACTCAGGAGGCAAGAGCACAGACAGCCCCTTCTCCTCTCCAGGGCTGGCCGTTCCTAGACTGAGATTTGCCTCTTTCTCGTTGGGAACCAAGTCCTCTCCCAGGAGACCATTGCCCTGAAGTTTGTTTTCCAAACACAAACCTAGAGATTTTTCCTCAGAGAAGTCTCCCAGGCATACCCCTTCCACACCATTGCCTCTTAGGACGTGCTCATCATTTGGAACGGCTATTTGACTGGTCCATGGGTTACTCTGTGTTTTTAAGTAAGTTTGTAGAGGCATGGGGGTGCTAGAATGTGTACTTTCTGTCTTCTTAACTCTTAAAAGTTATTTACGCATGCATGCATACTCACATATTTACAAATACATTTTGTGTATAGCTGTGTCTTTATATATTATATTTGCATATGCACATGTATGCACCTGTAGCTATGTGTTTTTATCTGTTTTGTATACAATAATTGGTGCTGGACTCTGTGTTTTGTAAGACAACACAGAGTTTCCATTACCACCCTCATTCCGCATATAAGAGAAGTGACATTTAGAGCAAGGAGGAGCTTGTCAGTACCATTCAACCAAGCTCATGGTGAAGCCAGGCTTGGACTCTGACAGCCTGGTCACAATCCTCATAACATCTCCCTCTGAAAGCCACTCAGCTGTCTCCCATGCTGTGTACCCAGGAAATGTCGCTCGGACTATTATTCCATGTTTTGCTGACATAGGGGGTGTGTAGGGAAGAGGAGAGACTGTAGGATTGGCGGCTGGGAAGAAAAAGGCAAGAACTAAGTCATGCCTTACCTGCCTTGAGACACTGCTTGAGCAGACACTTACCTGCTGCCTGCAAGATTGGCTCCTGGTCTGGAAGAGAGGCAGCTGGAACACACCCCTGACACCAGGAAGAAGGCCTGGCTTAGAGGAGTCTCCTCAGGTCACTGCTGTGGTTAAGTCTACCCAACTTTGGCCCCTGGGCTCCACAAGCCTCTTCCGTAAGCCCAGAAGAACTCTGGGGAGATCAGAGATTTTTATTTGACAATCCAAGTGAAATGCAGCAAGACACACTCTGCATGCTTGACACGTGGAAACTCTAGGAGCCAGTGGTTAACCAATGTACCAGCCTTGACGAGTGAACATCCCAGAGAAGGCAGAGCTGGGTGCAAGCCTTCATGGCTTCATCAGGTGGTTATTTTAGTTTCAGAGCCTAGAGGCTAGCTCATAGCTAATCCATACAAGGTGTTCAGTCCTGTGCCTGGTACACAGTGAGCAAGCTCTCAGTAGGTGCAAAGAGGCACTATTAGTACCACTCACTATTACTAGTTGGAAGGAACCAACCATATAGTTGTAACACTGGTAGCTGATGAACTTACCTGCCTCATGGAAAACCATTCCACCATATTCTAAGGGCATTCTAGGGTTCAGATGACTCTAGTTTTCAAAACTAGAATTTGCTACACATTTCTTAAATGCTAGTTCTTAACATGCATACATGCATATATGTACATACACACAAGCATATATATAATCTTAGTTATTTCTAGACTTTCCGAGAACTTAACACACAGACTCTGGAACTTCTGGAGCCTACGTGATCTCCATGAACCCAGATTCAGGTAGGATCTGCTGAGGGAACTGCCGTTCTGCTCCTATCCTTCTGAGGCCAGCTGTACACATCTGTATGCCATGATGCCCACCGAGAAGAGGGCATCTCTCCCCATCTGTGCACCCTCCAGTAAGCAAACATCCAGTTAGCCCTGGCATGGTTCTTCCTCTCCTAAGTCAGCACAGGGTTGCTCACACCTACGCCTTCTGACCCTTGCCTGGGACTTAACTGGTTTCATGGCTTTGCTTCATGCTCGCAGCCCTGCGATTATTTTCATTTCATAGCTGCCCGGCGTAAGAGGTGCTGTGCCTTGCCAGCATTACAGATAGGACTGAGGGAGCCAGCTCTTGAACTTAACTCTGCTGCCATCATCCCAGAACTTGTCCCATGAGAGGGGGATGCTTCCTCTCCACCATGGGCAGCTGAGGACTTTGACTCTGTGTGGCCCAGTGCCTCCCACTGTTCTGTTCCTACCTTTGGCAGGAAGACTATGAGGTCAATGCTGAGGTAGACCTATGCGTTCCAGATAACCCATGCTTCCCCTTGGTTCTGCTTTTCTTGTCTGTTTCTTTCTCCTCTCCCCAGAATCAGGCCAGGCATCCCAGATGTGGCAGAACCTGCCCTCTATCCTCTACTCCAGGTCTGAGGCAGGACTTCCCCTGCAGTGCTTAAAACTTTGGACGCACTGCTGTGGTCCACAGGAACAAACCTAGCCATTTGGAGGTGCTGAAAACCTGTGACTATCTCTGCCTTCTGCTAGGAATGCAGCCACCTTTGGAAGAGGCTGGGGGTGGGGGAGAAGTCCAAGGGACAAACTGGGACTCTAAGCAGAATCAGACCACCGAGGGCTGTCTGTCTGCTCCTGGAACCAGGTGAGGCATCGACAAAGGATCCTGGAGAGAGGCTAGGCTGGAACACAGTGGGAACAGTGGGTTTGTGCTAGTTTTCTGTGGCAGGTTAGAGGATGCCTTCAGATGGAGAAGCTGCCCAAGAGAAGAGAGAGGGAAACTGAGGTAGAAAAGCCATAGGAAGAAATGGAGGGAAGAGCGTGGGATGGGCCACTGCTTCTCTAGGAATGCAACAGGAGATTTGGAGCTGCCTTTTCCTCATGCTCAAGTGGTTGGGACCCTGGCCATGCAGTGACCTCTCGGGGAAAGCCAAGATAGACTGCTAGCTGGAGCTCCACACAGCAGAAGTGCTCAAGCTATGGCAAGGCCCGGGCCTGGGTTTGGTTTGCCCTGCTTACCCTGTTCAGCCAAACTGACAGCCCCTCGTGCTGTGTGAAAACACTCCTTCCACATCAGGACTCCAGTGTTTACCTCAAGCACAGTTTGCCTTTAGGGGAACAGTGGTGCTGTAGGGGCAGGAGGCCCATGTCTACCAATAACTGTAGAACTTCTTTCATGGAAATGGGGTACCCTTAACCCGTTTTCATTGAAGATTCAGATGCCAAGTTAGCTCTGTAAGCAGGCCAGGGGAGCCAATGGCATTCTTCAGATATCCCAGAGAATCTGTCCGCACTGGGCACAGATCTCTAGGGGTGGCTTTGCTGGTGTAGCCACTCAGAGGCACAGCTGCTCTGCCTAGAAGCTTCCAGAATGTCTCCCTCATTATCACTCTCCTCATGTCCAGGACTTAGCAGGTCTGCCTGGCCCTAAGAGAAAGGCCTTTATAATCTATTTGTTCATGAGAGGGTCCTGGAACTTCTGAGGCCATGGAACTGGAACCCTGCAAAACCCACAGACACAGGCCAGTGGGAGGGCTCCCTTTATCTGACAGAGCATCTCAGCACGGAATGTTCTGGTTAGTGTTTCTTGAACATAAATCTTTATTCCAATTGCAGTAGCTGTGATAGGAAAAAATCCAGCATATTTCATCCGCTTTTACCCTAATCAAATGGTTCTCACTCCAAAGCTCTCCGAGTTTCCAATGCACCCGAGGTGAATGAGTGAATGAGGGTGGGGGTGGGGCAGGGCAGTGACGGTTGTGGAGGAAAGGAATGTAACCAGTTCCCTTTTCAGCCAATGGACGCTTTGGGATATATATATATATATATATATATATATTTTTTTTTTTTAATCAGAGTAAGTGTTGTCACCCTTGGCGGAGAGGCATGGTTGAAAATCTCTGTGATGTTTCCTGTTCTAGGGACAGAATTGTGGCTTGAGGTAAACAACAACAATAAAAAAAAAACAAGCTGAAGGAGAGGGTGACGACTTAGAGCTAGGCCACACCCTGCTCCACAGAGGATTCTGCAGCCTCTCTGTTACCTTTACTGCTCTTGAGACAGCACATTAAAAAAAAATTACCCCTTCCCCAAAACTACCTGGCTGTCTTGGAGGCAAGGGCTTTGGTAGAGGATAGACAACACACACACAGACACACAGACAGACAGACAGACACACACACACACACACACACACACACACACACACACACACACTCCAAATCCATTGCATCTCTTTCTGTCTTTCTGTTTCCTTTCCTGTTGGGAGGAGCAGAAAGCAGCTGTGCCCACCTGACTTGACCTCTCTCCCCATCTTCCTGGACTACATTTATCTTTATCTGTTCTATCCCAACTCTCGTCTCTACAGGTCTTGTGGTCCCAGCCAGCTCTGGTCACTTATGGAAAACATCTCAGTAAGAATGAAAAATTTTCAAAAGTTCACTTCTGACTGGTCGCTGGCTTTCTAGTTGGAAGCAGATGCCGGGGTGCTAGGGTCACTGACAGTTGCTGCTGGAGCTGTTCGTGGGGACGAGAAGTTTGGAAGCCCTACTGTTTTCTTGGGGTAGGGATGTCTTTCTGCAGGGAGCCACAGGGGAAGAGTGGAGAAACAGCCATTATGCTATGGTAATCTTAACATGAAATCAGATCTGCCAAGTAAGGCCTCAGGAGATGATTTTGTTACAGCTCCTTCAGACTGTCTACCTGACAGAAAGCAGCCGGAAGGCCTTCTGAGAAGCCTCCACTTACCAGCACAGGGAGTTCCCAGTAGCCTCCAAAAACTAGCCTGGGTCTCCGAGAGGTGGGAGGCCTCCTGTGCACATAGCAACCTGCCTTCTTACTAGTCTCAAATACCCTCCCTCCTCAAGTGAGGCAATCAAGGTTCATGGATCCATGAGCAGATAATCCAAGGATTTGGTAGACTTGGCTCTGGAATGTAGACCAGAGCCTGCAGGCTGACTCCCCTTGCTAATCATGCTGTGCACAGGGTAGTGTCTGAAACCAGTTAGCCGGCCCTAGAGCAGTGCTGGCTGGGAATGAGGGTTACAAATGGGCTTTGGAGCCGGGAGAGGCTGGGGACAGAACATTCTGCACTCTCCCAAAACTTGTGGGTCTTCTTACTGAGAAAAAGGACTCAAGTGTGGGTACACAGGATGCTTTGAAAATTTAATAAATAATGACTTTTAAAATTGTATAAACGATAAATTACCATGCAGTCCTTATAATTTAAAATAATTTACAGGCTGAGGTAGGGAGGGGCCCAGGAGAGTGTGGAGGGGGCAGGTGGGGAAGTGGGCTGCCGGCAGGCAGGTCAGCCTCTTCTTGCAGCCTTCCTGCTGAGCACACACACACAGGCTGTGTCTATCCGGATGAACCTCCAGGCAGCCTGCTTGTCGTCTGTCGTCAAGGCCTTGACAAAGGTGTGGGTTGTGGTGCAGTATGAGTTCCAGTGCTTGGAGTCAATGCCCCGGCATCCACTCTCAACGGGGTTGGGGGCTCGGCACTTGGTCTCAAAAAAGTACTGTTTGAATACACTGTTGTTAATGTTCACCTCGCCCAACACCGTCACCTCCTTGCCCTTGATGTCCGTGGCTGTGGTCTTATCCCCAACCCACACACTGACACTGTCACACACGGAGAACTCCCCCATGTGGAAGACGGGGTGGGTGGATGAGCGCTTGCTCCTGTGAGTCCTGTTGAAGGAGATTGTACCATGGGCCTGGAAGTCCAGATCCAGAGTGTCCGAAGAGGTGGGTGGGGGCTGGGTGCTAAACAGCACACGGGGCGAGCGGAGCCTCCGCTTCTTAAACAGTCTGGGGTCCACAGTGATGTTGCGGGTCTGCCCTGCCACGCGGGCGGCTATTGGTGCCGCAGGGGCGCTGCGGGCTCTGCGGAGGGCTGTGTCAAGGGAATGCTGTAGTTTAGTCCAGTGGGCTTGAGGGACGGAGTCTCCTTCTGGGACATTGCTATCTGTGTATGGTTCTGCCTGTACGCCGATCAAAAAAGCTGTGATCAGAGTGTAGAACAACATGGACATTACGCTATGCACCTGGAATGACAAAGACAGATAGGTTACTCAGGGGAGCTGCGCTAAGCATTGTCAGGGTCCGGCTCCCTCACAGGGGCCCTCCCGAGAGGATGCTAGGAGGCTGCACTGGTGGGCTACGGGTGAGGAGATCCTGGACACATAAGTACGGCACTTAGGAGAGTGAGGTGTGCTGGCAGCAATCACACTGGCATGGCTGGCATTAACCAGAGCAGCCTGCGTGGTGGTTCTGTTCTGGGAAGCAACAGGACCCTTGAAATCCTGCCTAGGAAGTTGGGGTCTCCCTCACAGAGTCCTTTGGACTCCCTGACTGCCAGCTTGGAGGGTGGTGGTGCCTGCACCCTGAATGGCATTCCCTTGGGAAGGTTCTGGAAGTGCTGCAGGGAACATGTCCCGAAGCCCCGTCACCAAATTTGTTCCTTCACACAGCAGCTCTGAGCCTGGAGACTAGGAGTTCTTCCACAAAGCACACACTTACTGAAGTCTCTGAGGGTTAGGATGGTTAGGAGCTGCCATCTTTCTTTCACATATAAGGAAGCTATCCACAAGGAATCATGCCAGAAGCTAGACCACAGGGCAGCTCCAAAACATCCCTTACCGAGCCAGTCTGTACTTCCTCCCCCCTCCCTCCTTTATCTCTTCCGTTTTTTTAAGCAATTCCTTTATTTTTATTGCTTTCTTGTAGGTGAGCAGCAGAGACGGAACACCAGGCCCCATCAGGCTCACCCTGAGCAGCACTAGATGAGTCAGCTCTGCTCCGGGGACCATTGTCTTCCCATACTGAACACCAATTCACATCTGTAGAGGTGGATAAAGGCCACCTCCTAGGTGAAGCTGCTCTAGCTCTCTGTCAGCTCAGGACTCTCCTGCACAGTGTTTCCTATTCTCTCATCTCCCTGCACTGATGGATCATTTTGCCTCCTCCTCCTCCTCTATAGTTTCAGCCTAGTTTGTATATTTCCTACCCCTTGATGCTTTCTCTGATAACTCTAGCATAAATGCTCCCTCTGTTTGTCTGTCTGTCCGTCTCTGTCTCTCTATGTGGGTATGTGTGTGCCTGCATGTGTCTGCATGCATGTATGTGTGTGTATTCTTTCCTGCTAAATCTATATAATGAACAAAGAGCCTTAGGATTGAGAAAACCTTGGACATCCAGCCCAAATACTTGTTAGCAGAAAAAAGCCATTTAATCTACTGCAGCTTGGTTTCCTTGTAGGCAGTAAACCCTCTTCTCCAGGGTGAATATTTGGATTACGTGTGTGTTGATTCTGAGTCATTGTATCTCTCCTAAGACAAGGACTTTCTCTTTTTTAGCTCTGCTGCTGGCTGTTCTCTCTCGGAGCACCTTCGATGCCTGGGCTTTCATAAGACACTGTTCTCTCAGACTTCTCTGAAGCATGTATCTGGGCTTGTCCACTTCCGGCTGTGTGGTCTTAGAGGACAGAGCCATGTCCAACCCACTTGGGTGGAAGGTCCTCCATCACTATGTGAACATCCTTCTTGTCTTTCATAGCAGACTGTATTACCTTTACCTGGTGATGTGGGTATTCATTCCCACATCTGTCTCCCTCCCTGGTGGTGCTTTAGAAGTCATGTGACTTCCATTTCAGTCACTGCATGGACATGCACAATGTCTGGGATGTTACAGTTTCTCAAGAAATACGAGAATAATGAGGAAAATACTGAATGGAAGTGTCAGAGAAGCCCAGCCTTTTGTTCGCTTTCCACCATAGACATGGGTCCTTTTGACTGTGCCCAAGGCTACACGCTGCCTTCCAGTCAGCACCCGGCCAGTGAATTCCATACAATGCTGCTCTTCTTGGTGGGATCCAAGAAGGAAACAACCGCATTCTTTTCTCTCGGCTTCCTTTGAAGAGTGTTTGGTCGCTCCACTTCTCCAGCCGTCCGTGCAGAGGATGAGGCGCTCCACCTGAGCTTTTGACTCCCCTAAAGGTCGTGCTGACGATTGTCTCGCCAGCTCTGACAAGAATGATGGTTCTTTTGGCAGCTAATCGAGGCTTTTATGTTTGTTCCTCTTCCTGTTTCACTCTTCCTTCGCGGTGCACATTATCTTTCATCAGGTGAATGAAGGCAGAAGACACAGAACTGAAACCCAGACTTTTATACCCAAATTGGTAACACCTGTTAGAACTGGATCGGGAACTGAAGAAAAGTTGACTGGAGTTTAGGGTTTCACTAGAAATAAAGCCGGCCTCGCTCTATGGTTCCCATGGTCTCCTTCCACAGGCTCTGTTGGGGAAGCTCACCATCTCCTGAGGAGACTGCTGATGCCCCATAGCTACATCCCTAGCCAAGCTGTCCCCCGGAGGACTCTCTGGACCCTCAACTTGCTGACAGTACCTCTCCATGGATGTTGGCAATCTCAGTGCAAGACATCACCGAACAACATCTTCATGCTCAAGCCCACCACCATCCCATCTTTGTCTTCTGTATCGGTAGTAGCCGCCCAATTGTGGACCACTTGGTGCCTTCCAAATTAGTTCCACACCCACTGTCTCTACTGCTCCTGGTTCCCGCTCTCCTCAATGGCATCTTCACATTTTGCTTTTCTATTACTAGGACCATTGTGCCTTCCTTTGCCAGCTGCAAACCTCAGCTTGCCCTGGACTCTCTTCCCAGCCCTTCACCTAGTCTTCGGAGTAATCTTTGAGTTCTGTGGGAGCAGCAGCCCTCGAAGCTGTAACTTCCTCTCCTGTCTCACTTCTGTGTCCCTGGTTCGGGTCGTGGGGTCTCCTACCTGATGTTCTGGACCTTCATCTCTCTTATTCCAGTTCCCCGACTTCCCCATTCAGGTTCTTAATGCATTGCTCTGGCCCCGGGGCCTTGGTCAAAGGAGCCAGTGGGGAGCCCTAGTTTATGGATCTGGAATGGGTAGCTCAGCCAGGCAACAGCCCCACCTCCTCCAGTGACCTCACTTTCTTCATTCCAGACACAAGAGCTCCTGCCTGCCCTGTGCTTAGCCACCCTTGCCCTGGCTTTGGGATCTTCCCTCCAGGTATGCTCCCCCTGCACCCCCTCGCCCCTTTATGCTCTCCCTATCTCCTGTCAGAATCCATCCTGTTGTCTCCCAATATACCAAATTCAGTGGCATCGCTCCAATAGCACGAGACTCTAGGCAGAAAACCCCTCTCCGGTACACCTGTCCTGTGGCAGGTGTGTTCTCTTATGCTCTCTGATGGAGGGAGAGCTCCCATAGACAGAAAACTGTCTGCATACTGCTGTTGCCTGTGGCACCTCCACCTCCAGAAACCACTGCGTGTGGGGATGCCTCTTTCCTTCTGAGTTCCTTGACTTCCCCACCTGAGTGCGGACGTTTAAGGTGTCTCTAAACTCTGACTTAGATATTTTAAGGAATTGTTAAGTTTTCTACTCTGTATAACACTTGCTCATTCCACAGAACAACTCCACAATGTTCTAAAAGTCTAATGCTATCTGTGCATTTGCTGTTGGGTCAACCCACGGTCCCCACGGTCATTCAATGGCAATAGAGATCTGCATCATGGACGGACAGTTCATTAAGAGTTGAAAATGTCTCAAACGGATCTCTTCAGTTTTTGATTAAAATCTAATTGGGGGGAAACCATATTGTTTACTCATAATGATGTGTTCCTATAATCTTTAAAAATTATTAGAAAAGTATTATAGTCATCGGAACATACAGAAAAAGAGAGACATGCTCCACACTGTTTCCCATTCCAGTGACACAAGGCATGGTGTAGGAAAGAGCATCCTCTCCTTGGATGAAGTGAGCCAGGGAGGAGTTGGTTTATTTATATTCCACTTTTAAAGCCTGCGTCCTGAGCAGGTGACAGCCTTCCATGTAGCTTCATGGCACGTGTCTAAGTGGGACATTTGGCTGGGGAGAGCAGCCAGGGTTCACGTGAAGGAACATGTCCATTTCAGGTGTGAATCTTCATTGTGTTATAAGGGAAGGTAAGTGCCTGGGAAAGAGGAGACTGTCCTCAGGGTGGCTTTGATTCAGCCTCCACCAGGACGCTCTCCCTGGCTTGCAGAATTGTCTATGGGTTACCAGCATTCACCTCTGTAGTAGGAGATGTTTCGATACCGGGTGAATAATCTTTACACATGTCTGGCCCTACTTGACGAGCTGATAAAGCTGCCAGACAGAGCTTAACAGTTGATCCTAACTAGTCCTTGTCTCCAGTTGCCAGGAGGCCTACCAGCCAGGCCTGCAGAGGCATGTTGTAGAAGGGAGCAAGGTAAATCTGTCTTAGAGAGAGGCGTCAAGAGCTATTCATAGTTCCTGGGCTAGAGATCAGACCTGTGAACCCAGATCACCAATTGTTGGCCAGAGAGGAAATTCTTGTGACCAGAGAAATCCAGCCTCCTCCATCTCACTGGCTACCATCTGACAGGGGTTCAAGGGGTCACTTCTTGCTTTAAACTTGGCCTCCACCCTAAATGTAAATTGGCTGCTGTATTCCATTTTAAAACTTAGGAACTCCCAGCTGTTGGAGCCTGCACGGGGTATAAGAATTCTGCGGCTCCTTAACTCTCGAGGGAGGGATCTCTGAGGTGTCCTGGGATGAACACAGATGAGCAGTAATGGAACAGAGTCCAGCACCTCAGCTGGCATGGCCCACACAGCACTCATGAGGAGGAAGCACAGCTCTGAAGGGACATCAGAGACCGAATCCCAGGCTATCAAACTTTCAGGCATCAGATGCACCTGGAGGTCTGTTAAGCTGGGTAGCCTTTTCTACTTGTAGAATTGTTGATTCTCTAGGCTTAGGATTCTCTAGGCTTAGGGGTGGAGGAAACATGTCAGGCAAGTGACAGATGACACTGATGTTGCTGATCTGGGGGACACGTTTTGAGTTACGAGACTAGAGACTGAATGTTCGGGGTAATGTGGCTAGTATGTGTCAGGATCAGCCAGCTTCTCAGCCTCTGTATCTTTTTTGAGGAGGGAGGCTTGAGGCAGCCTACACTCTGTGATTGATAGTGCATCCTGAGACGCACATACTCTCTCCAACATCCATAGGAAATTCTCAGATTATGAGTTCCGCCTCCAAGGTACCACAAATCTGGACACAAGGGAAGACACTGATGTTTGACTGCTTTCACGTCTGGCATCTCAGGTTTCCGAGTGTCATGCAGCTATCTATGATCCTGATCCAAGTATGTCTTTATCAAAAAGTGCATAAGATGGCCAAGATGGTGACACGTGGCCAGAGAGCTCTAGAAGGTTCTAGACCCTGTGATTAGCTGGCATTCTCCAGGACAGGTGTGTAAGCTATGGTCATGGGAAGAGAATGTGCTGGTCCGGAGTTCCGGAGTCACATCTTATGTCTCAGCAGTCATCACAACCACCCGGGAGTGGGGCTGTGCTCATCCCATTTTATGACTGAGGGAACAGAAGACATGGAGATTACATCCCTTGGTCCTGGACACCTGGTAAAGTAGCACTTAGAGCCAGGCCTGCCAGTGTCCGGATACAGAACTCTTCCCTACTCTTCCATTTAGGCATAAAGAATGACCATAGACTTTCTGCCTTACAAGGTCACCTGCTCAGACTGCTCTGGGGGAGTGTGTGGAGTGTCTGTCTGATGTTGTCTATCTACTCAGGGGCTTGTGTTATGTGACTCTTAATGTGTCCCTAGAAGCCGCAGAGCAAAAGGACTTCTTTGAACAAGCCCCATTTGCAGTGGTGTCACGAAGAGCCATGGCCCTTACTGCTCCATCAGGTCTGACTCCCCTTCCACAACCTGCTCAGCCTTTCCAGCTCCCAGGGAGCTCCCAAGCCTCGCAACCGCAGAGCTAGAAGCCCCAGGAAGGCAGCTGTCCCACAGGCACTTACCTCAGAATGGCCAGGATAGAAAGCTGCGTCGTTGGCAAAGCCTTTATTGGGCCCAGACACTGAGGTGAGCCTGGGTCCAGCATGCCATCCAGCCCCCTGGACTGCACGACCACAGGCCAGAACTCTGTGGGGGAGAGCAGACATTTGACAAGGGTTACCATATTCCCTAGCACATGGGTAGACTCCTGAGCCCTAGACAGAGGGGAAGGAATGTCCCAACAGGGCAAGCCCTACATCCACAATTCCAGTATTTTAGTAACACTGGGGCCCAGGAAGGAGCAAGAGTCCAGTTGCCAAGATTTCCAGGGCTCTGGGCATTTACAGCTCTGGTCTTGCATGGCCCTGGTCTTGCATGGCCCAGGTCTTGCATAGCTCTGGTCTTGCATGACCCAAGTCTTGTATAGCTCTGGTCTTGCATGGCCCAAGTTTTACATAGCTCTGGTCTTGCATAGCCCAGTTCTTACATAGCTCTGGTCTTGCATGGTCCTGCAGTGATCCTTGCCTTTGCTAGTTTCAACTTGGACACAGTCCACAGTGGGACTGCACCCAGTATAGTGGCTTCCAGATCCATACTGGAGTTCTGCTCCAGTGATGCCTAAACTAAAATGAAAATCATTGTGCACACTGCCCAGGCACAGATGTAGTAAACCCAACTCCATCCAGCCTCGGTGATGCAATATTACAAATGCAAAAGTCGTTTTTTTTTTTCAATTCAAACAAGCCAGTTCTGTGATGGAAATACAAGATAAGCAGTGGGAATGGGACAAACTGACCACTTGACACATCACTCAGATCTCTCACTGAGACACATACGTCAGAGGTCTTGGGGCACTGTGCTAAAAGTCAAATTTCAGAAATCAGAAGCTATGGCAATAACACATTGAGAAAAAATATTATGCTTTAGCTTGTGGCTTCTAGAGTCACTGTTTTCCTCTCGCTTCTGTCAACCTGATACATGCAGGTGCTTCATTCATTCATTCATTCATTCATTCATTTCCCGAGCATCTACTATGTGACAAATGCTATTCTTGGTACTGGAGGCACAGCAGTAAATAAAACAGGCAAGTTCTTGACCTCTCTTGTGGACTTCATAGTCTAGTATAAATAAATGACTTCAGACTCTGTTCATGCCAAGGAGAGAACAGGTATGGTGTGATGAGAGAGACAGGAGTATAAGAAGTCGTTTAGACAGCGTGCTCAGTGAAGAGTTCCTTGAGGAAGCCGCCCTCGGGTTCACAACAAGGCATGGAGGACAGAGCATTCCCGGTGGAAGTGAGAGCAAATGCCAAAGCCTTAGAGATAAGTCAAGCAACCGAACATGAAGGAACAGACCTGGGAGGTGAGCTGGAGAGCTAGAACAATCTGAGCCTTGAGGGATGAAGCCAGGAGCTACAGCTGCATCCCTGGGGCCCACAGGAAGAGTGGGGGCTTTCGGCAGGACAGTGCCGTGGCAATTTTGAAGAATGAATGACTAAGTCTATGAAGAAAGTGTGTAAAGAAAGTTCAAGAATCGCACGTTTGTCCTTCTTGTCTGCGCTTTTTCAGGTCCCACAAACTCTTCTTCCAGCCATGCCTTGCTCTGCTGTGACCCCACCATCGCTCCCTTCTTACTGTGGCAGCAGATGTCACAGAAGCGTCCCGGAAGCCAAATACCTGGTGGGGAAGAGGGGGCTGAAGAGCAGTGGATGTGGGAGGGGCCCTGGAGTGGCTTCTGCATGGCTGGGAAGCATCTTTCTGGGATGTTTCTGTCCCTCTTCCTTCCCCACTTTGCTCAACACGCTCCTTTTATGTTTCAAAAACTAACAGAAAACCAGATACACAATTGAGAATTCAGGCACGGAGGAAACCCGACTGTAATGATCTTCAAACAGTGAGAGTCTGTGACAGACAACATCTTGATGCTCTCCAGGGTTGAGCTTAGTCTGGAGGAGGGACAGTGGCATGTGCTCTGGGCTTAGGGGGTGCGCATTACTGGTCTCATCACTCAGAGGGGAGCTCATCTGTTCCACAGGCCCTTCTGCTGGGGGCTTGGCCGAACTGCGCAGCTGGCAAGGTTGGAAGCCACAGACCCATGTCCTGACCCAGTTCTCTCCAATTCTTGGGTAAGACATCCCTCCGAGTGTCTGTTTTTCACCTAAAGGAAAAGTTGCTGGAACGGATGATAACTCAGGTCGCTCTGGTTTTAGTCCTCTGTAATTCTAAGACAGTATGAATAAGCAGCGCTTTTTCCTACCCTTACACTGAAGTTCATTAATCTCATCAATTAAACACTGACATTTCAGGCCCTGTGGCAGATACTGTGGAAGGTGCTAGGGACGGGGAGAGAAGTAAGACACAATATTTCCTAGAGGGGTGGCAGGGTTCGCACAAGCTAAGCATTTAAATTAGTGTGACGATCAGGGTGTATATTACTCATGAAAGGGAAGCACAGTGGACCTCGGAACCTCGTTTGTCCCTTCAGGGTAGTCAGAGTGGCAGGCTCATGAAGGAGGTAACACCTGAGCAGGATTCTTAAGAATGAACAGGTGCATATTACAGAAGAATGGAGAGCAAAACCACTACCCAGCCTTTTAGCTCAAGAGCTGACTGGAGGTCTAACCAAGGTCAGAGTGTTGGGGAGAGCGAAAGGAGTATGTGACGGGCCTTTGTGTCAGCAGAGGACAGTGAGTTTGGTGATCCCATTGCTGTGGCCTGCTCGCTTGCTGCCCACAATACACAACAAACTTTTACTTTTAATCCACGGAACACCCAGAGAAGGAAAAGTGACTCTGTGTAATATTTCTGGATATTCCTCTATTGGATGCCTTCTAATCTAAGCGATTGGAGTGAGAGAGGCTGATGATCTAAATTGTATTTATTCCACAGCTTCTCAGACTTGCCATCTTGGGGGACGGAGTACACACAACCACAAGTTTCCCAGCCATATATCCACAGCTGCTTGCCCAGCCAACACCAGTCTCCTGCCCATCCCATACTGGTGCCTAACGGCTCTCTGGGGCTCCTTCCAGCATATGCCCTTGGTCTTCTCTCATACAGTGCTGCCACAGCAGTTTGCTGCTGGAAAGAGAATTTCCTGCCAAGAATACTGACTGATTTTCATAGGTGTTGCTGCTTCGGTCTCATTCCAGGGAAGGCTGGAGCTCTAAAATGAAATCCAATCTAAATAGTGCCAGTTTCTAATGTGAACACACCAGGGGCGAACAAAGAAAGTGAACGTCTATTTTTAAACCCCTAACTGTTCTCATCATGACTTAAAAAGACATCAGATGGCTCTCACACGTTTGAGAAACGTATGGAAATAGATCACAGGTCATTTACAGACCACCTTATGCTCCTTCTTATAGAACACAATGAAATACTATAGAAATCAGATACGCCTCTGCCAGACCCTGGCCTCTTCTGGTGCATTAACACATAGTACTATAAGAGTGTCTTAAAACTTGTTAAAAATGCAAAGTACTGGGCAGCTGTCCTGAGTGCTAGAAACAAGACAGCTTGTGATTTAATAACCCTGTTTATTATATTATGTATCCTCTAAGAATAATCAGCTTCCACGCTGGCCTTCCTCTATCTCCAACTTGACTGGATGAAAGTCACCTAGGAGATTGAGATGTTCCCCTGGGCACATCTGTGAGGGGATTTCCGGAGAGCATTAATTGAAGTAGAAGATCTGTTCTTAATGTGGGGGGCACTTATCAAGGGTGGGTCCAGATGTAAAGAGGTCCAAGGAAACAGCAGTTGGGAAGACCTGCCTTCCTTTTCTCTTTCAGGGTAAGTGTGTCCATCACAGCCGTGTGTCACTATGCTGACTTCAGATTTTGGGTTCTATAACAGTGGCTCTCCAGGAACTTCTCTACTTTCTGGTTTGGGACTGGTTTGAAGTCCGAGCTTCGTGGACCGAACAGTTACTGGGTTCTTTACTTCTCCAGCAAGCAGATAGACATTGTTGGGCTACTCAGCACCTATTGTGTAAGCCACTCTAACAAAACCCCTCTTTACTAGTTCTGTCCTATTTATCCTGTCCCACTAGAGAACCCTGCCTAATACACTCCCCAGAGAGTGACCCATCCAAGCCAAAGAGGACAACTCAGGGGTGGCCGCTGCTGTGGACTGCCTACAAGACTGGACCTTTCCATGGGATCCTTAGAACCCATGAACAATCAGCCCGGCGTCTGCTAGAGCTGCAGGGTGGACTCTTCTGAAGATCCCTGGAGATAAGGTTGTTCATCCGACTCTCCGATCATTGCTTCCCCCACTCCCCCACCCCCACCCCTTTTCAAAAGCATTGCAGTCAATTCTCATAAAGAAGTTTGGATCAATGGCAAACTGTTAAAGTCCAATCAAAATATGATTGTAACTTTGCTTCTGTTGATAATTCATGGGGAGTGGTAGACATCCAAGTCCTTCATACTTGAATTTTATGCAAGACTCTACCTAGCCCCCTGGTTTCTGCTTCCACTGTCCCCTGGTTCTCTGTAGCGGTGGTTCTCAATCCCGGCCACACGGCCGCTCTCCAGGCTGGTTTTACAAACCACTATGATGCCTCATGTCCTGTCTCCAGGGAGCCTCTTCCAACTGGCTTGCGGGGCTGCCTGCTCGCGATGGGTTTTCAAGGCTCCCTAGGAGCTCCAAATGTAAGGCCAGAGGCAAAGCCACTGATGCACAGGAGGAAGAGAAAGCTTGGCAGTGGCTTTGATGAGCCAACTAAGAGAAATTCATTATCAAGAAACGAATATATCTTAGAAAATAGAAAGTACAGGTGCAATCACCTTATAAGGAACAAGGAGCTCTGAGATTATACTGGGCAGACTAGGGAAAGGTAGTCTTTACAACCCGTCATTGTCTAGATACAAGCAACAGCTGTGAACTGGGAGGTTTTCCTTTTGATTTTTTGTAAGCCACTTTAAAAAAAAAAACATTCTTCAGTGTTGGGGCTATAGTGGCTTAGTACTAAAAAGTTCAAGGACTGTTTGCTGACATTTTTTATTTCCAAAGATTTGGGGACAGTTAACCCAAAGGACCATACATCTCATGTGCTCCAATGAAGCAATGGCCGGTGCCTAGAGCAGTTTACACTGTTCAAAGATGCCAGGGAGTTGCCTCCTGCTTCCTTCAGCCTCTGCC